TGATCATATTGTTCTCATGTATCATGAAGGGCTTCTGCATACACAGGAATGATGTACTGAGACCCCAATTACATGGACCCCATCCATGATCACTAGTTTGGAGGTGTTTGCATTTCAAAAAATTCCCTTTTAGCCATAATATTGTTTTGTTTCACCCAAATGGCAATGTTCACGCCAAATACCAACAATGCACGGAGCACAAAAATATTATATATGAAAAAAGCAACAGTCCTTTCCTTGTGATAACTGTTCAGACTGATTTTCTCATTATCTTTGTTATCTGCCCTTTTATTGACAGCCTTAAGGTAATGAGTAAGACTGTGTAGTGTGCAAGAACATGCTTGCAACATATCCTTGGCCTGGAGATGGGTCACTGAGGCACCGAGTGCCAAGTAGGGTTGTGGAGGAGTGCTGGGAAGGGTTATTTGTTCAGTGATATGGAAACTATGCTCTTGCATATATACATACTAATTTTTAGTTTAACCCTCCTGTTATCACAGCAATAAACATAATTGCATCAGAAGGGCGGGTAGGCCTAAACACCCAGTCACCTTGTATGTGTGTTGCTGTCTTGTTCTGAGGTCTGCTCCATTGGCTCCTTCAGAACTGTGACAAGCTGTTGTGGACAGCTCACGGTCAACTATCAACAATTGGAAGCTGTAAGGACAGGCAACCGATGACGTCAGTACTGTGCCGATTAGAGCGCTGCACAATTGGCAGCCCCTCTTACTAGCCTTGGGCATCACAGCCCATTTAAAGCGACAGCTCTCAGTAGCGTAGAGAAGTTTAAATGTTTTTCTTGTGTACAGGTTTGTTCTTAGCTTATGTAGACTTTAGAGTTAGGCAGCAGTTAGATGTTCAGGCATAATCTGACCACCAAAAATCTTTACCTACAAATCCCTTTTATAGTAAGTGCTCAGACTGCTCAAACATGCATATGTATGCCTATGTACAGTTGGTGAAAATAATTACAAATTATCCAACATGGACAATCAGTCTTCTGGGGTGTCTGACAGGTTTGCTGTTGATCACAGATGTCTAGATCAAACTGGGTATTGATCATCTCATATCACTGGCTTCCTGTATTTAAAAAATTGGTCAGCCCGCCTCAAAAGTTATTCTGTTATCCCTTTCTACCTTCTAGTCAGTGGTCTCTTTTCTCTTCCTCATTGGTTTGTCCTTGTATTATGTCTAGTCAGCTGTCTCTTTATCACTAGTTAGTCTTTCTATTCCCTGCAGTCGTTGCTCTCTTTCCTACTAGTTAGTCCTTCTATTCCCTTTTCATTACTAGTTAGTCTTTCTATTCTCCCTGATCAGCTTTCTCCTTCTTACAAGTTAATCCATCTTTTTCCCTCCAATCAGTTGTGTCATCCTTTCTAGTTAGTCCTATTTCCTTCAGTCAGCTGCTTCTTCACAACTAGTTAGTCCTTCCTTTGCTCTCCAGTCATCTGTGTCTTCCTTTTTAGTTAGTCATTTTATTCCCCCTGGTCAGTTGTCTCTTCATCACTAGTTAATCCTTTTATTATATCAAAGCAGTAGTCTGTTCCTGTTTATTCATTTTATTCCCACCACTCAGCAGTCTCTTTGTCACTGATTAGTCCTTCTATTCTCTTCAGTCAGATGTATCTTCCTCTTTAGTCCTTCTATTCCTTCCAGTCATTGCTGCCCTCCACACTAGTTTAGTCCCTCTATTCCCTCCAGTCATTACTGTCCTCTCTAGTTAATCTTTTTATTTCCTCTAGTCCGCTATTTTTTCTTCACTTGCTAGTCCTTCTTTTCCATCCAGTATTTGCTCTCTTCCACACTAGTTAGTCCTTCTACTCTGTCCAGCATTTGCTCTCTTCCTCACTAGTTAGTTCTTCTGTTCAGTATTTGCTCTTTTCCTCACTAGTCAGTCCTTCTATTCCCTGTAGTCTTTTCTCTCTTCCCCACTAGTTAGTTATCCTATTCCATCCAGCCTTTGTTCTCTCACTAGTTAGTCCTTCTATTCCCCCCAGACTTTGGTCTCTTCCTCACTAGTTATTTCTTCTATACCTTCCAGTCGTTTCGCTCTTTCTCACTATATAGTCCTATTCTGTCCAGTTTTTGCTGTCTTCCTCACTAGTTAGTGCTTCTATTCTGTCCAGTCTTTGCTCTCTTCCTTACTACTTAGTCCTTCTATTCCCTCCAGTCTTTGCTGTCTTCCTCACTACTTAGTCCTTCTATTCCGTCCAGCCTTTGCTGTCTTCCTCACTAGCTAAGCCTTCTATTCTCTACAGTCTTTGCTCTCTTCCTCACTAGTTAGTTTTTCTATACCATCCAGTCTTTGATCTCTTCCTCACTAGTTAGTTCTTCTATTACCTCCAGCCTTTGCTCTCTTCCTTACTAACTAAGCCTTCTATTCTCTACAGTCTTTGCTCTCTTCCTCACTAGTTAGTTCTTTTATACCATCCAGTCTTTGCTCTCTTCCTCACTAGTTAGTCCTTCTTTTCCCTGCAGTGTTTGCTCTCTTCACTACTAGTTAGTCCATCTATTTCCTTTAATCAGCTGCCTCTTCCTTACTAGTTAGTCTTTTTATTCCCTGCAGTTGTTGCTCTCTTCCTCACTAGTTAGTTCTTCTATTCCCTTTTCATTACTAGTTAGTCTTTCTGTTTTCTCTGGTCAGCTTTCTCATTCCTACAGGTTAATTCTTCTTTTCCCTCTGATTAGCTGTCACTTCATCACTAGTTAGTAAGTCTTTTCCCTCAGCTACCTCTTCCTTTCTAGTTAGTCCTATTTCCTTCAAACAGCTGTCTCTTCATCATTAGTTAGTCTTTCCTTGCTCTCCAGTCAGCTGTGTCTTCCTTTTTAGTAAGTCCTTTTATTCCCTCTGGTCAGTTGTCTCTTCATCGCTAGTTAATCCTTTTGTTATGTCCATTCAGCTGTCTCCTCCTGCTTATTCCTTTTCTTCCCACCACTCAGATGTCCCTTTGTCTTTAGTTAGTCCGTCTATTCTCTCCAGTCATATGTCTCTTTGTCACTAGTTAGTCCTTCTGTTCTCTCCAGTCAGATGTCTCTTGTTCTTTAGTCCTATTCGCTCCAGTCAGCTGTTTGTTTCTCAGAATTTCATCCTTTTTTTTCTTTGTTCAGTATTCTGTCCTCTCTCCCCCACCTGTCTCTATGTCTGTCTATGTGTCTCTCCCCTCTCCAGACTCTCTCTCCTGAGTTGTGGCGTTCTCTCCTCTATCAGCTGTCTCTCCCTCTCTGGCGTGCACCTTTTCTCTCCCCAGGCAGTGCTGTCTCTTTCTCTTCTCACTCTTGGTTATTAACGCTCTTTTGATAGGCAATTATTTGGTGCTCTATATTTTTGCGACTCTCTCGTGCGAGACTCTGATTTATGAACATGTCTGTGAGTCTCTGCACCCCCTTCCACTCGCACAGCATCACTCTGTTAACCCCTCCTCTGCCAGGTGCTTCCATCTCTCAGTACCTGTCTAAGCCCCAGTAGGCTCTATGTACATTTAGGACAATGAGGCTTTATGTGGACCCTGAAGTATCTAACTTGCCATGGTTGCCATTTTAGTAGCCTCATTTATATAAGGCAGATAGTCAAAAATGAGGCATTGGACGGTTGTCCATATTTAGGTTTTCTTACTGTATCCTGAATAATGCATCAGCAGCAACTCCATAAATTCCTTTTTTTCCCTTTTTTATTTCCCCTCATTATCCCATTAATTAATTATTAACCCATATTAATAAAGATGCAAAGACTGCTAATGTGTAGTAACCACAAACAACCAATCAGACACCCACTTTCTTCACCCTGACTGCACTGAGTTTCTAAAGCTGATTTCTGATTGGATGCAGTGGGTTAAAGCACATCACCAGTCTTGTAGCTCGCTAAAAATAAAACATAATGACCTTCATAGAAAAACAATCAGTCACCAAAGTGAAAAATCTAATACCAACCAGTCAGAAAAAATCTTTATTGTTTAGATTATCCTGAGCATTTCAAAGTTGATTGGTTGCTAGATTTAACTGCAGATTATTACTTTTTGCTCTCTTCTAAACATCCTGTAGACTTTGGGGGAGTTTTACAAAAAGTGGGGTGTTTAGAATTTGGTACAACTGTGCATAATAGCCAGTCAGGTTCTAACGTCAGCTTGTTCAATTAAGCTTTGACAATACAACGTGGAAGCTGATTGTTTTCTATGCAGATCTGCACCAGATTGTGCACTCTCCAATTTTAGTAAATCTCACCATTTATGTATTAAGGCAAATAAGCAATAATGCAATACAATGAGCCTCAATGAAAAAAAAAAAGAATTCATCTATTCATGGTCCATGAGCTCTGAACAGGTAAAACATGTAATGTTATTGGTTACTATAGATTATTGCACTAACTTGCTCCTTGACCCCCCATTTCTATAGAAGGTTTGTATAATACCTATAAGTAAAAACAATGTAAAAATCCTCTACTTTGTGTGATGCTTTATCACTCCTTTTTACGAATGAATATATACAGTTAACCTACCATTCCATAGCATAGACACAATGCCTGTGACACTCTGGTGCAGGGCTTGACAGGGTTATAAGAAATAGATTGGCTGGGATGTAGTCCCATACTTACCTTCCCTAAATTCACATTCTGTGTACTTCTCCCCCCCCCCCCCTCTCTCCTTCCTCCTCCGCTTTATTCCTCCCCTCCCTGTCTCTGTGGTATCCCTCTCTGACATAGCTCCAGACAGCTGTTAAACGACTTAATCTCTTAAAAATAGTTTTAATTTTCTGCCTCCTATTGATCGCCGGCTCCCAATTAATCAACCAAGTGGAGCAGTGAAGATGGGAGGTCCCAGTGTGCCCCCTAGGGCCGGTTGGGGGGCTGACGGGTTCACCTATATGCTTGTATATGGAATAGACTATGAGTAACCTATGGAAGGTTACTTCATTAACCCCTGCCCTGCAAGAGACCCCAGTATAACCACATTAACCCTTTTGCTGCTGATTGTACACAGTGATCTAACATCTCTTTCAATGTTTGTCTTTCAGGCTCTTGGCTCTGTCTATTTTGTACACAACTCTCTACGTATGGTTCAGATCTATGACTTTAAAGGTAAGGGATAGTGTTTGCTGTGCCATATGTTTTCTTTATTGCATATAATGGGCATACAGCTGGAGCAGCACAGTGGCTTAATGGTTAGCACTTCTGCCTGGCCGTACTAGGGTCGTTGGTTCGAATCCCAGCCACGGCACCACCTGCCTGGAGTTTGCATGTTCTCCCTGTGCCTGCGTGGGTTTCCTCCCACACTCCAAAGACATGCTGGTAGGTTAATTGGATCCTGTCTAAATTGGCCCTAATATGTGTATGTATGAATGTAAGTTAGGGACCTTAGATTGTACACCCCTTGAGGGTTAGGGACTGATGTGAATGTACAATATATATATGTGTGTAAAGTGCTGCGTAAATTGACGGCGCTATATAAGTACCTGAAATAAATAAATACAGCGTATAAGTGAAGAAACTGGCATAACTACTGTGTAATAGGTAGACAGATATATTCAGTGTGTATATACCTATTATAGGAAAGTTTGCAATGAACTGTAAAAGTGGCTACAAGCCAGACCTTCTTGTTCAGTATAGTACCCGACCTCACAAATTCCCAAAGCCACACTGCAAAATCTTGGGAAAAGCCTTCCCAGAAGAGTGAAGGCTGTTAGTCGTGTAAAGGGAGGACAACACCATGTTATTAACTATGGCCTTGGAATGGGATGTCAAACAAGCTCTTATAGGTCAGGTGTCCACAAATCTTTGCCCATATAATGTATCAACTGCTCCTTGTATATATATGTGAAGAGTTGCATTGTGGTCTCTTTGTATTGATGGAGATGACTTTCGTATTCTAATTATTATGGAAAGACTGGCTTTGCCACCTTTTTAATTTGGAACAATTTTAAAATTGATATCTCCTGTGCACAGGTCCAAACAAAAGGAGCAGAGCTTTAGGTTCTTTTACACCTCGCACAAACTTTTAGTGTGGCATCCCATCATCCACAGAGAAAAATTCTTGCTTGCTCTAACTTTTATCACATGGGCTTACATCTGTACTTTGTAAAACGTCTCTCACCACCTGCAGAGCTTGCCGTCATTGGGGAGGCTGAGCACACAACTGTCAAAACTTCCTCTCAACCTGCATGGTAAAGCAATTTTTTATCTTTTTTGGAGCTCCGCAATGCAGTGCTTTTGTCAAACCACTGCAAACAAAAGTGAATTATGAAAATCACACAAACATTTGCATAGGGGGTACAGAAAATTTGCCAAAGTTCTGAAGAGGACCGGCCCCTAACCTTAAGTCATTCAGGGCTCAATGCTCCTGACAGGGGCAAGGTACACTATGGTTCTTCTAAGCTGAAGTCAGACCCCACTCCTTAGGGACCAACTATAACCGATCCACCAGGTACTTGGTGAGCAGCTCTCCTGAAGAGAGACCCCTCCAGATGGGGCAAGGCAAAAGACTTGAAGGCCACTAAACCTCCCCCTGACATCAGGGCAGGCCCTCGATAACCTGCAACCTCCATGTCTGTGCAAAAACAAAAACATGTGCAGGGTAAAGCAATGCTTGTACTACAGTGCATACTGCACACAGCACAATGCACACTATCATAGGTCAGATGCTGTGTTCTATACACTTTGAGGGTGACTAACAGTGGTTGTTTTTCTAAAGGCAAATAGACTGTGCACTTTGCAAGAACAGTTGCTCTGGAGCTTAGTCAGCTTCTGACTTCTATTTATCCAATCATGTGCAAGCAAAAACATTTTTTTTTCCTTGCATGTGATTGGGTGTTCTTTGCAAAATGAAGCTTTACCTCATTTACTAAGCTCTGGAGCAACTGCACTTGCAGAGTGCATGGTTAATTTGCCTTTAGTAAATCAACACCACAGAGTCGCACAGGGCTTTTTTTACTTTCTCTCCTTGTACCCTGTTTTAAACTACTATAAAATGCACTTAAGGCTCCATGCACACTGGGCTTTTAATAATGCTGATAACGTCAGCTGTGTAAAGTTGCGTTAAAAAACACGTGAGTTTTACTTAGCATTTTTGCATTAGCGTTTAGTGGCGTTTTGTCGCTTTTTTCGCATTTTTTTTTTCCAGCAAAAAATGCACAGGTTTTTTTTTTTTGGCTGTAGCAAAAAAACAGCAGCGGTTTGCTGCGAAATTTTAAATGTGTTTTATCATGTTTTAGTAATAAATGTTTTCCAGTGTTTTAGAGCGTTTTTACAGCTAAAAAAATACTAGTGATAAGAAACCCGCTGGTTCTGTTTTTTTTTTTAAGCCAAATAACGCCCCTGCCGAAAAATGCTGATTACAGTCTAATGTGTGCATGGACACATAGGATAACATGCTGGGACGTTTACTGGCTGTAGAAAAAAATCCGTCAAAAGCCAAAAACAGCAGCTGTACAAACGTCCAGTGTGCATGAGGACTAAAACTGTTTACAGTTTCTGTTACAGTGATGCATAGTTATTGTAATTGTTGTGCATGAATAAACTAATTGAATACGTCACATGGGCTGTTCCTGTTAGAAATCCTTTGCTTTTGTAACACGCTCCTAGATAGGGGCAATGTCAGGTACATTTAGTTCTGGCTCACTGTAATCAGTGTATCTGCATGTGATTATTTACATCAGTTCTGTGTTTCACTGGTTGAAGGCCTGACTGCTCCTCCTGCAATCCAGAACTTTCTGTGTCGTTCTGGGACATAGGTGTGCAGCAAGGCAAACGGGCAGCATGAATACTTATATTGTTTCAGCCAATCCCTGTGGGAGACTGCACAGATGGTTGCTGGGAAGGTGTATTATTAGTCTGAGATCTGGAACAGATGTGTCTTGTCCCTGAGGAAGAGATCACAGTCTAGGGGTGCTGTTTGCCCCCATAGGCAAACATGCCACGTGTCTCTGTTCGTTGAGGTCCCAGCTGGGCAAGCTGGGGAGGCTACTTTGCTGAAAGTTGCTGAAGCTGACAGAGGGAATTTTTGTCTAAAGTTCTAGCCTGGTATCACTGGAAGAAAGTGTCCAGAAGATATCGTAGGGAAGCAACCAATCATCCCAAGGATATTAGTGAGTACAAACTAGTGTGAGAGATCTTAGAACCTGTGTGCTGTTGCCACCCCTGTGGTGCTATAAAGTCAGCTCAATGGGGACATTGTGGTTGGTGTCCTCAAGAACTCAGTCTATTTAATTCCTAGTGAAAGGACTCTAAGAAGAAAGATTAAAGGGTTACTTTTTGTAACCCAAAACAGTAAAATCAGTCTGTATATGCAGTAAAGCATGCTTGTTATACTCACTGTGGAACCTAAGGGGTTAATCCTCTGCATTGTATAAAAACACTGTTTGATCCTGACTTTTCTGATCCTCCCCTTCTTCCAGTGTCCCCCTCATATCTCCTGATAAGACATTTCGTGTGGAGTCACTCTGCACATACTCAGTTTGGTGTGGATTGCTAGAGTTTTTTTTTTTCTTGCAAGAGTGCATGCGATCAGCACAGGGCCAAACAGCACTATCCAGACAGAGGTCAGGGGTCATGCATCCTCCTAGAACAAGATAAAAACTCCTCCTAAAAGCTTTAACCAGTGCTTGGCTGGACACTGATAGAAGTCACAAGACTGCTCTAACTTCTGATGAGAAAAGGTATTTAGCAGTTTATATTTACTAAAATAATTGCATTTCCATGTTGTGTGTACTGTGGGAGACCAGATATAGTGAATTCAGGGTCCTGGGTTTAGTAACACTTTAATATCTTCAAGTTGCTACCCTAAAGCTCAGTCCATCATTTATTTGTGCAAGGACTTGGCTCATAACGCTAAAGAAGAAAGTTCTTTAGTGTTCTCAAATTGCTACTACGGCCCATGCACACTAGGCGTTTTTACAACTGCTGTTTTGGGCGTCAGGCATTTTTTTTACAGCCAGTAAACTCTCCAGTATGTTATCCTATGTGTCCATGCACACATAGGCTTTTAGCAGCATTTTTTGGCAGGGCATTTTCAGGCTAGAAAAACCACACAGAACTACTGCTTTTGAAGAGGAGTTGTAAAAATGCTCTAATGCTAAAAATCACTGCAAAATGGTGCAAAACGCTGCTATCCAGCACGTATGAGTGTTTTTGAACCTCAAGCTTTTGTGGGAGTATAGTTTTGTAAAAAAAAAAAAAAGCAAATGCAAAAACACTACAAAATGCAACAAAACTTGCATTTTTAATGCGGAACCTCTACAACTAACGCTACTGGCATTTTTTATAACGTCCAGTGTGCATTAGGCTTCAAGGGTACTGGAGTATCCCACAGTTACCATACTCATATCAAGGTTCAAGTTATACAAAGCATCAGAAAAGCATAACTGGACTGTTCATTGAGACAAAAGAGTGACTGTGTGCCTGGCTGCGGGGCAGCTATGGGAAAAGACCTAAGGGACCTTTAACTGTTTCCCGTCCGCCCTATAGCAGAAGTACTGCTACAGGACGGCATGGGTGCGCAAAAATCACGTAAATATACTGCTACATAAAATGTCTTCACCTTTCCCTTCCTTTCCCTTTCAGACAGGAATTTCATCTCTCTGTCTGGACAGACCGTATGTATGGGCTCTCTTGAAGACTGCCATATTGTGCACAAGGAGAGATTCCCACAGGACTTCTGGTCTGAAGTAAGAAATGCTATGTAGTGAACTTCTTACAAGGGGTCTGAAATTCACATTGTAGGTGCATTCCCACTCTGAGAGACTGAATTTAAAAAGAAATTCAGGAAATCACATTGTATGATTTGTAAAGAATTTATTTGTCTTGCACTGCTGAACATAAGTATTTGAACACCTAAAAAACAGCAAGAATTCTGGCTCTCAAAGACCTGTTACTGTGCCTTTAAAAAGTCCACCTCTACTCCACTCCTTAATCTAACTTAGTAGCACCTGTCTGAGCTCTTTAAAGACACCTGTCCACCCCACAGTCAGTCAGATGCCAACTACTACCATGGGAAAGACTAAAGAGCTGTCAAAAGACACCAGAGACAAAATTTTGGACCTCCACAAGGCTGGAAAGGGCTACGGGGGAAAAGCCAAGCAGCTTGGTGAAAATAGATCAACTGTTGGAGCAATTGTTAGAAAATGGAAGAGGCTAAAGACAACTGTCAGTCTCCCTCGGACTGGGGCTCCAGTGCAAGATCTCACCTCGTGGGGTATCACTGATTATAAGAAAGGTGAGGAATCAGCCCAGAACTACAAGGGAGGAGTTGGTCAATGACATGAAGAGAGCTGGGACCACAGTTTCAAAGGTCACTGTCGGTAGAACACTACTCCGTCATGGTTTCAAATCATGCATTGCACGGAAGGTTCCCCTGCTCAAGTCATCACATGTCCAGGCCCGTCTGGATTGCCAATGAGATCTGGATGATCTGGGAGAAAGTCATGTGGTCAGATGAGACCAAAGTAGAAATTTTTGGTCTAAACATTCACTCGTCGTGTTTAGAGGAAAAAGAAGAAGATGATTGCATCCCAAGAACACCATCCCTACTGTGAAGCATGGGAGTGGTCACATCATGCTTTGGGGGTGCTTTTCTGCGAAAGGGACAGGACGACTGCACTGTATTAAGGAGAGGATGAATGGGGCCATTTATTGTGAGATTTTGAGCAACAACCTCCTTCCCTCAGTCAGAGCATGGAAGATGGGTCGTGGCTGGGTCTTCCAACATGACAACGACCCGAAGCACACAGCCAGGATAACCAAGGAGTGGCTCCGTAAGAAGCATATCAAGGTTCTGGAGTGGCCTAGCCAGTATCCAGACCTAAATCCAATAGAACATTTTGGAGGGAGCTGAAACTCTGTGTTGCTCAGCGACAGCCCTGAAACCTGACAGATCTAGAGGAGATCTGTGTGGAGGAGTGGGCCAAAATCCCTGTTGCAGTGTGTGCAAACCTGGTCAAGAACTACAGGAAACGTTTGACCTCTGTAATTGCAAACAAAGGCTTCTGTACCAAATATTAACATTGATTTTCTCAGGTGTTCAAATACTTATGTTCAGCAGTGCAAGACAAATAAATTCTTTACAAATCATACAATGTGATTTCCTGAATTTTTTTTTTAATTCTGTCTCTCAGAGTGGGAATGCACCTACAATGTGAATTTCAGACCCCTCCATGATTTCTAAGTGGGAGAACTTGCAAAATCGCAGGGTGTTCAAATACTTCAGTTTCTCACTGTATGTTCCTTTTACTCCCTGTCCCTGGACTTGTGGCTTACACATGGCTGTCACATGCTTTCCCATACCTAGAAATAATGGCTATAGTGCTGAGCGGAGCAGATGGGGAGTGAAAGAAAGGTACTGCTGGGGTTGGTATGGGCTTTCAAAGTGATACTAAAGTCTATTATTTTAAAAGAAATAACATTAAAAAGTGGTAATACTTATCTGCTCTGTACAAAGGTATTGCACAGAAAACACCCTATTTTGCTTTTCTGTCAGTCCCCTGCAAGCGATGTTGGCTTCTCACTGCTCCAGGTGTCTCCTTAGAAAGCCACGTGCCGAGGAGACACCCGTGCGTTCACAGCATGCTCCTGAGCTAGGCTGTGTGCTAGGATCCATAGACACAGACCGTGCCAGTACAGCATGCCCATGCTGGCTGGGAAGAATTGCCCTTCACAGGAGTTTGACTGACAGCAGCAGAGTGTTTTGAGCCTATGTTGGAGCAGTGCTGGTAGGTCAGACAAATATAAGCCAATGACAGTGCTGGAGCAGTGACAGGAGTAATCCTTTTTACAATTGTTTAGGGATAGGGACACTAGGAAAGCCCTGTTCCCAGGCAAAGGCCTCCAGACAAATAAGGGCGCACTGCAGAATTCTTTAATCGATTTAAGACTGGTGACCTGGCAGTGTGGTTATGCCTCTACAACTCTTTACAGACCAAAATTCTATGCTTAACTGCAGGAGAGAAATTAGGGGTCATTGACCTGGCTGTGCCTTCTGGTATTGTGTTATTGCATCACAGGACTGGCTGGGAAGAATTGCAAATGTTTTTTTCAGGTAAAATAGTTTATATACACTCACCAGCACGGGGACTTCACCTTATTAGGTACAGCTTGCTAGTGCCAAGAAAATATCCCCCACCACACCATTACACCTCCACCACCAGCCTAAACCATTGATACAAGGCAGGATGGATCCATGCTTTTCATGTTGTTTATGCCAAATTCTGACCCTACTGTCTGAATGTCACAGCTGAAATCAAGACTTGTCAGACCCAGGCAACGTTTTTCCAACCTTCTATTGTCCAATTTTGGTGAACCTCTGCGCAATTGTAGCCTCCATTTCCTGTTCTTGGTTAACAGGAGTGGCACCCGATGTGGTCTTCTGCTGCTGGAGCCCATCTGCTTCAAGGTTTGATGTGTTGTGTGTTCAGAGATAGTATTCTACATACCCTCATTGTAACGAGTGGTTATTTGAGTTACTGTTGCCTTTCTATCATCTTAAACCAGTCTGCCCATTCTCCTCTGACCTCTGACATTAACAAGGCATTTTCATCCACACAACTGCCGCTCTCTGACTGGATATTTTCTCTTTTTCGGACCATTCTCTCTAAACCCTAGAGATGGTTGTGCATGAAAATCCCCATAGATCAGCAGTTTTTGTAAATACTCAGACCAACCCATTTGGTACCAACAACCATGTCATGTTCAAAGTCACTTAAATCCCCTTTCTTCCCCGTCCTGATGCTCGGTTTGAACTTCAGCAAGTTATCTTCACCACTTCTACATGCCTAAATGCATTGAGTTGCTGCCTGATTGGATGATTAGCAATTTATCTTATCAAGCCATTGAACAGGTGTACCTAATACAGTAGCTGGTGAGTGTATATTGCAACTGTTAAGTCGTACTAAGCCTTAACAACCTTTTCCCTAAAGTCTGTCTAATACTATTGTTAGATCATGCAATAATTTAGTTTTATTTACTTATACAAGATCAGAGCATCATGTAGCTTTCTCCTGGTTCTAAGCCACTAGCCATGAAATGACTTGGAAGAGATTGGCCACATGCAAGAACAGATTTATGCACATGCATCTGACAGGAGCATGTACACAATGAAGATGAAAATGATATAATAATGGGTTATATTGTATGGCCATCTTAGTTACACACAGTGCTTAGAGGACTCCTATAATTTTTCTTATTTGTCCTGCAGTTTCCCTGGACTCGCAAGGGATTCATGAGGACACGTTGGTTAGTCCACAACCGGTATGTATGCCACAGTCCCCTGGTAATGGCTTTGTCACATGCTTTTCCAACACATGCAGCTAATAACAGCCAAGTGCTTCATGTCACAAGGCAGTGTGATTCTGCTGTGTGCTGGCAATTGCTGTGATAAATGTGTTTGTATTTGACTCATATCTCTAGTAATGAGCAACCCTTGATCCCAGCACTTCCTTGAGGCTTGATCCACTACAGACATGTCACCCTGCTGCTGAATATGAGTCCATGCTTTTCTGTAGCCATACCATGCTGTCTTATATAAAGTCTGGGTGACAGTGGCGGGCTACTTGCTAGATTTTACTTGCCTCACACTAGGACCCAACACATTCATTATAACACATTTACTAAAAAGTTCTAATCTAATCCAATCTGGTCTTTTAAATTCTATGGTCTTCCCCAGCAGAATTGTGAAAGATGAATGTACTTACATTTGTTCTGCACTAGTCCCTGAAAAATATCTTCATTTCACATGTTGAGATGTTGACAATTGCTCCATTATTTTTAGAGTATACCCCTATCTATTCAGGGTAGCCACATAATTGTCTTTTCTTTGTTTTTTAGGATGTTTGATCTTGTGAACCTTCACCTGTTCCATGATGCTTCAAATCTTGTCTCATCTGACTGCTCTCCCTCTGTGTATAGCTCCAACCGTAGGAGGGCCTTGACCCATGTACTCACAAGGTAACACACAGTTTAAAAAATTAAAGGGTCTGAAAACAGAACTGGGCTTGTTTCTCACCGAGGATACTTAGATGATCATGTTCCAGCTATAAGCACACTGTGATCAAGCCTACAGATGAATGATGGCCCATGTCCATAGATCCTTCTCTCTAAGCTAGTAAGAAATCACGTGGTTTCTGTATTTTAGATATTAAAGTGAAACTACACTGTATCTGAGCACCATAAACCAAAAGCGCTAATTAATTCATTTTTAATATTCAAAGCAATCTCTTCCATCCATTCATGTCTCCATGCTTTATTTTGCTGAGAAAACACCCTCTAGCACTTTTGGCCATGACCATCTTGAGTAAGGGCACATGATTCATGTAGCGTTTACTTCCTGGAATACATCTGCCCCAGCTCAAGCATGCAGGAGGGTGTACTTAGCTGAGAAAACCCCTCCTGAAGACTCCAGGGATGTATGACATAATTTGCCTAGGCATGGAAACCAGCTAACTTAACTAATGTAACTTGCTTATGATTGTGGGGTTCCTAAATTAATGGATGTATGCCAGTGATGTCTCAGTAACTGGGAGAGCAGGACAGTATTTGATGTGGAGCTTTTGTCTCTGTAGACTTCCGACCTGATTGTGCAGGTGATCGCTGGCTGTGCGAATAGGCACAAATAGCTGCGGCCCCCAATAAGCCTGTCTTTACAGTGTAGGGGCTTGGCTGCTGCTGCTATCCACATACAACTGGCAATCTCAGTAGCAGGAATCAGTAGATTCCCACTGCTGGGATTCACATCTTGGCTATACACTCATGTGAATGTAGCCTAATGACTAGTACACAAGATGAGAAAATCGGAAGAAATATACCGCTTTCAGAGCGATTGTCTCATAATCTGATCGTTAGTACACAGCTTTCGAGAGCCAATCACAACACTTCATATAAAATTATCAGAAGGGACAAAATCCGAAAATTTTTCTGGTACTATAACAGAAAACTTTTTTTTTTAAACAATTTTTGTTTCAATCAGTACAGTATTCATCTGTAAAAAAAAAAAAAATCGAGTGACCAAGATCACGCATGCTCAGAAACGAAAGAATACATTACAATACAATACATTACATCATTGCGGGACATTGTATTCTGTCTTACGAGAATTTTTATAACTTTTGTAACCTATTCCTTTTTCATATGAGACTAGCATGCAGAAAAAATTAGATGATCATTCGTCTGATATTCTCATAGTGTGTACTAGGCATAATTGTCCCTGTTGTTACACAGTGTCCCTACAACCAAGACACCATCTAAAAAAGTAACACTCCCTCTGCTTAAACCCTTAGCACTGTGACACGTTCTTATTCTTATACTCACCTCATCCTTGTACTTAAAAGAGCCATACCGTGGCGTTGCCCAAGCTTCACAAATTTTGGACGATGTCCTTAGTACGATGAAAATGGTATTTAAAGTCGCTATCCCTTTAGATCCCAAACCATGCCTCCTCAGTATGACAGCTCCCAATTAAAAGATCATACTAATGTGACCATTGCTAGAGCGATATTCTGGGGCAGGAAACACATTTTGTAGTATTGGAAAGCTGAGCAGCCTGGGCTATGTGTTGCAGTTAGACATCGGAAGACGTCTGGTATGTTGAAACACGTTGGGCGGAGCCTCCCTTTTGACATCATTGCATAAGAATCGCCATTCCTACTGTTGTTTTTGCTGACTGATGGTATTTCATTACGCTTGTAAGTGCATTTTAGTTCATTTAATAAATAGCTTTTTAACCTACTGCACTATGAGAGGCACCTTTTAATTTTTGTTATGAGTTTAAGTTGACCCCATAAGATCAGGACAGTTTGAGGAGCCTCAGATGGTACACATGATCTGATATGAGTCTGGATGGAATTATTATATATATCAGGCGTTTATTGACCCCCTATAATTAAGGGGTCAAAGCATCTGGTAAGCCTCCAGTTTGTTTCACGTTGGTGGTTATATTGGAATGAAGATTTTCTACTATTCACCACAGAATATGGGGACTGCTCTATATACTTTATAAAGACTGTTCCATATATATTCACTCAATTGCACTTTATTTTTTGGCAATGGTTCACTATTGATCACTTTCATTTTTGTCCTCTTATGGACACGTCAACTTTATATGATTTATGACATTTTTTTAAATTTATTTATATTTCACTTAGCGCAACACTAGATATTTTATTTGATTTGTGATTTAGAGGGGATATCCTCTTGGTGTGTTTGCTGATTTGTACACAATTAGGTTCAGGTATTTGCATGGTTTTCAATTAATTATAATGTTGCAGTTGGAGAAACTTAATTTTCAACATTGTGGATGTCCTGCAAAATGTAACAGGCTATGGACCTGTTGGTTAGACACACCTGGCCTATCTCCTATGGACCTGGTCATGAACAGACTCCTCTAGCTAACTCACTATTGAAACAGATTTTCTTTTATTTGCTGATACTTGAGGACCTTCTATTTAATGTTAGGGTTCCCAAATGTCACGATCCAGTAACTTCAGATTGTTGATTTATTGTACCCTGCAATCCAGGATTCGGAACTGGTATATGTTCTTGCTGGTATATACGCATCTCCTATTGTCACTTCTTTTTATGTGTTTGTGTTGAACATTCTCCACTGTAAATGTTTTCTCTGGATGACGTAATAAATGTTTTTTTTCTGATTAAAAAGAAATAAAAAAAACAGTCATACCAGCAATAATCTTGAGCTACAAACCTATTCATTGTAAATCATTTGTAGATCTCACAAAGCCTTAAGTTTTGCAGATTCCTGGGTTGTTCATGCCTGACTGATCCAAAATGGCTAAAGCTATACTAGCTCAGTGGTAGGAACTCTAGTCTTAACAGAAACATTTCTATAGTTTCTAATGTCAGCATATTGACTAATCTGTTCCAATTTTTAAAATGGTAAATGCTGGTTCTATGAAAAGGATCTGATCTACTAAACATGACACCCAGAATAATTTATCTGCCTCAATGCTGCTTGAGAACCAGTCACTGGAACAGAAAACTGTATCTATACTCACCCCCACCATTGCATCATCATGGCTGACACATGAAGCATTAAAAGAAAAAGGACTATTAATAATGAGAGCATATTTTGTTTTTTGTTCACACCTGGTAAGTTTCTGATGTCACAGTTTTTGTTGCTCTTTATTGGTCTGATCCTGGTATTTTTGGGCACCCCGGGCAGCTCGGCTGCCAGCAGCCTGTCAAATGCTGTAACAGGCTGGATACAAGTAGACTTGTGTTTAGGGCTGTATGGATGCAGGGATGTGTGCCCTGAACACAGAGTTCAAACATCAAGATTTTATGCTACTGTGTCAAACCACCTTTGTGCATGTAGCCTTAAAGTGTTACTAAACTCACAACAGTAAAAGCAGTCTATATATGCAGTAAAGCATGCTTGTTATTCTCACTGTGGAACCTAAGGGGTTAATCCTCTGCATTGTTTAAAAATGCTGTTTGATCCTGACTTCTCTGATCCTCCCCTTCTTCCAGTCCCCCCCCCCCCCTTATCTCCTGATAAGACATATCGTGTGGAGTCACTCTGCACATCATACTCAGTTTGGTATGTACAGTTGTGTTCAAAATAATAGCAGTCAGACTTCACTAACCTGGTCAATCACTTTTTTTGGTAGAAATGATATTTCTACATGGCAAATAATTTACTAGCAGGTGTAGTAGAGTAATAGAAATCCAACAGACCCAACAGTCATGACATGCATGCTGCTGATTCTGTGTAATTGAATCACTAATTGAAAGGGGCATGTTCAAAATAATAGCAGTGTGGAGTTCTATTAGTGAGGTCATTCATTCTTTGAAAAACAGGTGGCAATTATTGCCCTTATTTAAGGAAGGAAGGCAGCAAATGTTGTACATGCTGGTTACAGGGCATTTCTCTCTGAAATTCTGAGGAAAATGGGTCGTTCCAGACATTGTTCAGAAGAACAGCGTGCCTTGATTAAAAAGTTGATTGGAGAGGGGGAAAACATATAAAGAAGTGCAGAAAATGATAGGCTGCTCAGCTAAAATGATCCCAAATGTTTTAAAATGGCAACCAAAACCTGAAAGACGTGGAAGAAAGCGAAAAACTACCATTCGAATGGATAGAAGAATAGCCACAATGGCAAGGACTCAGCCAACAATCAGCTCCAGGAAGACCAAAGAAGGTCTAAAGTTACCTGTGAGTACTGTTACAATTAGAAGACGCCTATGTGAAGCCAAGCTATCTGCAAGAAGCCCCCGCAAAGTCCCACTGTTGAAAAAAAGACGTGCTGAAGAGGTTACAGTTTGTCAAAGAGCACATTGACTGGCCCAAAGAGAAATGGCGCAACATTTTGTGGACTGATGAAAGTAAGATTGTTCTTTTTGGGTCTAGTGGCCGGAGACAGTTTGTCAGACGACCCCCAAACATTGAATTCAAGCCACAGTACACTGTGAAGACAGTGAAGCATGGTTGTGCAAGTATCATGATATGGGGATGTTTCTCATACTATGGTGTTGGGCCTATTTATCGCATACCAGGGATCATGGATCAGTTTGAATACATCAGAATACTTGAAGAGGTCATGCTGCCTTATGCTGAAGAGGAAATGCCCTTGAAATGGGTGTTCCAACAAGACAACGACCCCAAACACACCAGTAAACGTGCAACATCTTGGTTCCAGACCAACAAGATTGACGTTATGGAGTGGCCAGCCCAATCCCCGGATCTTAATCCAATAGAAAACTTGTGGGGTGACATCAAAAATGCAGTTTCTGAGGCAAAACCAAGAAATAGAGAAGAACTGTGGAATGTAGTCCAATCATCCTGGGCTGGAATACCTGTTCACAGGTGCCAGACGTTGGTTGACTCCATGCAACACAGATGTACAGCAGTTCTCAGAAACAGTGCTTATACAACTAAATATTCATTAATTGATTCAAAGGAAAGCAAAATCTTCAAACATTTTTCAGTTTATATAGTGAATGTTTGAGTTTGTAAAGAAGAATACAAACACTGCTATTTTTTTGAACAGTCTAATATTCTCTTTTCTTCAATTTTATTAGAGGAACAACACAAATTTGATATATTTTCCTTCATGTTTTGATTTGGAATACAATGTGTAGTGTTCCCAATGCATTTGTGTGTATGGAAATAAAAGCTATTAGAAGGATTTTGAGCTTTATTCACTTTTTTCAACACACTGCTATTATTTTGAACACAACTGTATTGCTACAGAGATTGTTTTTTTTCTTGGGAGAATGCATGTGATCAGCACAAGGCCAATTGGCACTATCCAGACAGAGGTCGAGGCTCCTGCATCCTCCTAGAGCAGAATGAAAACTCCTCCTACAAACTGTAACTGGTGCTCTGCTGGACACTGATAGAAGTCACGAGACTGCTCTAACTGCTGATGAGAAAAGATATTTAGCAGTTTATATTTACAAAAATAATTGCATTTCCATGTTCTGTGTACTGTAGGAGACCAGATATAGTGAATGCAGAGTCCTGGGTTTAGTAACACTTTAAGGTGGTTGTAAAGGCTGAAGGTTTTTTACCTTCATGCATTCTATGCATGAAAGTAAAAAACATTCTGTGTGCAGCAGTGCCCCCAGCCTCCTTGATACTTAACTGAAACTCTTCACGATCCAGCGATGTGAATGACAGCCTCGGCTGTCCTGGGTCTCTGCCTCCTCATTGGCTGAGAAAGCAAGAAGGAGCCATTGGCTCCCATTGCTGTCAATCACAGCCAATCAGGAGAGAGAGAGGGTGGGGCTAAGCCACGGCTCCATGTCTGAATGGACACATGGAGCAGCGGGTTCCCCCAAAGCAAGCTGCTTGCTGTGGCGGCACCTGACACAGGAGGAGCCAGGAGAGCCTGTGGGGGACCCAAGAAGAGGAGGAGTTAGGCTGCTCTGTGCAAAACCACTGCGCACAGTAGGTAAGTATAGACATGTTTGTTATTTAGAAAATAAAATGAACCTTTAGAATTGCTTTAAGCCTGGTACACACAGGCCAAATATCGACCGGTATCACCAGTACATTTGGCACATGTGTATAGCAGCCTGCCTAGGTTTTGTTGAACGGACATGCTGGAAAACAGCAGCCAATTGGCATCCCATCAGCGCTCGTATTCCAATGGCTAGGTTGAGCAAAAAAAAAAAAAACTACCTGTGTGTACCAGACTTTAGAGCAATGGCAAGCTTATGAACACTCTGTTGTGTTTTTTCTTTTTTTACACAAATTTTGTTACTTTCTGTAAAAGACTTTGGGTTTATAAGGTCAATTTAATTAAAATGGTGCTTTTATTAATGTTTTATTGTAGAGGAAACCAGCAAAACATGTGTGATAACTTTTCTTCTACAAATATCCTCTGTTCATGGCTCCAATTTTATTTAATTTCTTCCTCAGGTTACAGGATGGCTGCAATGTACCATTTTTCCTATTTGGAGATTTTAATTTCCGTTTGGATTTAAAAAGTCTAATCCAGGTGTGTTTATCATATTGTATATTTTATTTCTGTATACTGTTCTGTGTGGGAAAATACACTGTCCACATCTTATGTTGGTTTTTGCAGGTTCAGGGTTGGTCCCCAAGTTTCACTGGAGAGATGGGCAAACAGACTGTAGTGTATGAACAAGATGGGGAGGTGATTGCCACTGACTCTGATTGACTGACATTGATTTATGCAATTTCCATTTTACTAACAAATTCATTAATAACTTGTATCTGTACTTACTGGACTGTGTATACTAGCTAACATCTTTGTTGTACCCTGCTTCCTTTTCTTTCCCTGTTCCACTCTGTTCATAACTTATTTTCTCTATGAATTCGAGAGTTGAAGGGTAAGTGAATGAAAATAACCAAATCTACATTTTATATGGATATATGTTTGCTGTTTTACCTACAAAAGGTTTTGTATATCTGGCCAGCCAGTCTTCTCATGTCCAAACTCTTGTCAGCAATTGCCGATATACATTGTCAACACTCACTGTAGAGTGCACGAGTATATTGCACAAAAGATCAGTTCTATAGACAAATAACTCATGGTTGTTGCTCTAGTGTATCTGTGGCCGTATCTTAACCAGGGTTATTCCTCACCCTCTTTATTAAAGCCAGATGCATTACAGATGCATCAAAACAAAAGGTGCGGAGTAGAAGGGCCTGTTCCAGCCAACAACTGCAGAGTTGGACTCTTGCTCTCTGCGTGAAGGCAGTGGTCTCATTGTAGACCACATGCCCTTTATATTGCAGACCAAAAGCTCTCCAATCAGCAAAGCTCATGCTGCCTACTGATTGCAGAGTTCTGACTCAGCAGGGGGCATTATGGACCTAATGGAGCTAAACAATGAGCAGCCCTGCTGGCCCCACTTTATTCGACAACAGTTGATCAATCAATAGACTTTTGTCAATGGTACCTGCTAGAAAAAGTTCAAGCAAAAACAGAGGCTGCATCCAATCAGATACAGCTGCCATCAGTGGCTGTCGGAATACAATAGCCCAACAGGGAAATTCATCCATCCACACTGTTTAGCATGGGTGGAAGAATTTGTTAGATTTCTTTTGCCACAGGCTAAATGAAAAAAATCTAATAGTGTATGGCCAGCTTAAGTCTGTGGATTTTTTTTTAAAGAATACCAACTGTAAGACTTTGTACATACTTTGTTTTTATGTATTATTATCCTGATCATTCAGTAATAGATTCTCTTATTCCTTACATCTCTGTCTTATGTTCCTTTACTTATAGCTTTTTATGATTACTCTTCAATAATAGTTTTACCTGCTTCTCCTTTATAGATTTCCTTACCTTCCACTTCTTGACCTTACATGTTATTTCTTCATTGATATCCTGACCAGCCTTCCTTCTACACCACTGGTACTATTCTCTACCCTTCTTTACAGATACAAATGTCTACCTTTTTACTGAGATATGTACTTGTCCCCATCCCAATACTAAGATCCATTATATATTTTGTAAGATGATTCAGACAATTTTCACATCCCAGAACATGCACAGTTATGGAATTGTTCCCATCTGTAAAGAGCAGGGGTCTCCAAACTTTATAAACAGAGGGTCAGTTTACTATCCTTCAGACTTTAGGGGGGCAGGTCAGTGGCCATTGGGAATTGAAATTGTCCTGGTGTCAATGGGAGTAAAAAAATGCATCTTTGATATTAGGAGGAGGAGGAATAGTGCCCCATTGCTGGTGTCAGTGGGATAAATAGGGCCCCATTGTTGGTGTCAGTGGGATAAATAGGGCCCCATTGTTGGTGTCAATGGGCCCATGCTGATTTCAGTAGCAGGAATTATGCCCCATTGTTGGTGTCAGTGGGAGGAATAGTGTCTTGTATCAGTGGGAGGAAAAGTGCCTAAAGGGCTGGATAAAAGCAAGCAAAGGGCCACAGTTTGGAGACCACTGCTATAGAGAATGTTGTACTGCAGAGAGCTGTTACATTTCTGTAAGCAATAATGAGCTATACATTTGTGAGAGTTTCTTATTTCTAATAGCTGAATTATTACAGCTGAACACATCACAAATGATACTTGAATTTATTGCATTGTTTCCAAATATCAGGCTATGTATGGGAAAGCTTTAGGCTAAACACTTGGTAAACTGAAATACACAGAGGAAAGTCATATATCTGAGCTGTTTTACCTGCCAAATGATTTGTGTTCCTGTCCATCCATTCAGTTCTGAGATTTAAACAGTTCTGCCACAGCTAGACATATGATGCAATGTTCTCAATTATGGACTCTACAAGAAATTCAGTAGTGTCCTCTCTCCACCCCCAGCTTGCTGACTGGGCAGTGAAAGAGCAACAGCAAGCTGAATAAGTTTTCCCTCTGTTCCCTCTCTGATCAGCATATTCTTGTCAGCTCATTTGCATGAAGCATATCTCATTGGATACCAGTTTTGCCCTGCCTGCGTTTTACAAAAATTATTTATTATTAGCGTGGTTGTAAACCCTTACATAATCACAGTGATGTGACTGGTTCAGTGTCCAGAATTTATACAGCTTGTCTGAGATTTCAGAAAATGGGGAGCTGAATTTACACACTCCAGAGCTCAGTTAGCAAAGCTCTGAGAGCTGAATGGATGGAATGAAGGGGCACACTACTCTTCACATATTACACTGGAAAAGAGCTGAGGCTGTCAATCACAAGCAGTGTGCTGGAGCTCCCCCTTTTTTCTCTTGGTATCAGGAAGACTTGTCAGAAGTGACTCATGCAGAGGAACAGAGCAGCAGACAGAAATTACACTTAGTGCTTCTTAACTAGACAAGTACACACATGTCTGTTTACAACCACTTGAATGAATACAGAGCTGCATTAATTTCTTATAATAACATGGATTATACACTGGGCGTTTAAGTCAAACCAGAACTTACATAATAATATAACAAATTTCAAGGAGTGGAAACTGCATTTATTTTTCTACATACGTATGCGTTTATTATTATTCAGTGATGGAAGGTACGGCCATCTTTGAAACGTTTACAGCATTCAAATGTCTTACTGCAGCTGAGTGTCTCATCACCGTACTGTGCTTGAAGTCTTGTAGATATCCGCGGGTTTTCAGCCTTCGTTCACAATAAATGTCATCATCACACGCTGTTCCATGCATGCACTAACACTGTTGTCTGCCATCTTGATTAATAGTCTCTGGACTGGCCCGCAACATGTGTGCAGCCTATCAGTAATATGACACACTTGCCACTTACTACAGTGTGTAGTACCACCATGCTAGCATTCCTTTTTATACCTGTAAAGTTAAATGTTCTGGTTTGACTTGAACACCCCTTCCAAATTAGAACCACGGTCAGATAAAACACAGGCTGTGCCAAAATCCCTTACTGTGCATTTGTCTTTTATGTCTGCCTGGAGTTTGGCTTTGGTGCTGTTGATTGTTACGTCAATTTTTCCATCAATCACTTTCTCTCATTTTTATTATCATTGTTATTATTATTAATAAGTGTCATCAGGTCACTTCTGGCTTCTGCACCTACAGTGCAGTCTTCTTTGGCATGTAAACTCATTTTACATGCAGGTACGGTCCCTGTGTGCCAGAATGACTGACTCCTGTGCACGCTCAAGTTATGTCATCCTGCTTTGACTAATGAGGATGCCTGAAGACCAGCACGCAGGAGGAGCCAGGAATAAGATGTCAGCACTGGTGAGAGTGAGAGACCCCCTCATGGACTTTGGACTGTTAGAGAGGAGGTAAGTATAGTGAGTTTAGTTCCATTTTAAGTTTTTACAACAGCATGTTCATAATTTCTGTTACTGTATCCATACACCTTATTGCTGCTCATCCTCTTCCTCTTTTCTCTTAAACTTTTCTGTGCATATGTACCTTTTTTGAGTTGGTTCTTTTCATAATATGTCCAAAATATGACAGCTTCACGCTTGCCATCTTGTGAAAGGTCCGCATGATTTGTTCATTTGCTTGTGTTCCTTGGTATCCATGGTATACTTCACCAGCACCAAAGTTCAAAGGCACCAGTACTTTTTCTGACTTGCTTCTTCATTGTCCAGCTTTCACACTTACTTAAGGAGTGACAACAAACACTGTACCATGGACAGTTCTGACATTAGTACTTATTGACACATGGACTCTTCACTAAGTGATCACTAAGTCCTTGAGTCTTCACTGACTTTCCATTTCCCTCTCCCATTATTGTCCTGTCTTGTCAATATCTCTTCTTCTTCCATCAGGTTCAGCTTCTCATGAAGTGTAAAAGGTTTGAATATCAGAATGTGAAGATATTTCAGGATGATGGTGAACATATGGTAAGACTTGTGTTACCAAAGCAGAATGTGGAGAACTGCATTCAGTAACATGTACTATATAAGTTTTATATAGATTTGCATTTTACCCAGTCGACTTTGTCCCTAGCTGCTGCGCTTTGACCATGAGCCAGTCCCATTTCTGAATGAGTTGACTGAGGTCCAGATCTCCTTCCCGCCCACGTAAGATATCTTTCTCTGCAATTGCCAGATGTCTTTTATAATGTGAAATAATACACAATGAATGTTTGTGTTATTGGTTGTTGGAACACTGATCTTGTGCTGTATTTATTGCCAGTTACCCGTTCAGTGAAAATTTTACAGAACCTGCAGAGTTCATGGGCACACGATGTCCAGCATGGTGTGACCGTGTCTTGATGTCTCACCCTGCCCGGGCTCTACTTCAAAATGTTAGTGATCTGTCTACTTTCTTCTCTGTTCTCCTCAGAACTCTTCCCCCTGCTCCTACTCACTCTCCTCTTCTCTGCAGGTTAAGGAGGGGGAAAACTGTGTTAAGTATCAGCGGATTGGAGGAGACGTCTGTATGGGCGACCACAAGGTAAGAGCAAGAAAATCAAAATATAAATGGCATGTCTTGGCATGTATAGTGCTTCAAACACACTAATGGGCTCTTCCTCCATCTCTCTAGCCTGTTTATCTCTACTTTCCAATGGAGTCACCATTAGAACAGCCTGAAAACTGACAGGTAATACTTAACACTTCTCACAGCAGACCTACCATACCAATGTTCTTAGGAAAAAATGATCTCAGGTTTGTGCTGCAGCCAACAGATCTTCCTTTTATTCCTCCAAAGTGCAAGGAAAGGGATAATGTGATTGGTTGCTATGAGCAACACAAACGGACTAATTCACTTCTTTTCTGTTCATAATTTAGGCCCAGTATTCTCTACTGCATATATAAGTTTCTGCTTAAAGTATATCCAAACCCAAAAACATAACATTTTATTTATAGCAGCCTACCAGTCCAGAAATGGTGGTGGCTACTTTAGTTCTCTTTTTTGAGGCTTGTTTTCCTTTATTTTCACCTGTTGATCCTGCCAGTAAAACTGGTATTTTTCAACTTTAACCACTTTCCGTCTGGCCCATGTACATAAACGGCCGAACAGGAGCAGTGCAGGAGCCGGTTGCCGTTTATAAACAGCACCCGCATTTACAGCCTGTGCGCACTCCCTGGGAGCGCGCAGCACTGCAATCCGGTGCCCGTTGCGTCCAGAGGACACAGCGGAACACAGATCACTGTACAGGACCTCTCTGTGATGTCCCGATTCATGTGATCAATGATTGGCCAAGAATGCAGCCAGAGAGAAGGAGAAATGATTTCTTTTACAGCCTTTACAGGTGTAAAAGCAATCAATGTAAAAAAAAAAAAAAAATAAAAATCTTCATCACCCCCCACAAGTAGTACAGTGTCACTATGGTGACACTGTACTGCTAGGGTGACAGTATGTTGAAAAAAAAACTCATAATAATATATAAAAAAAATAAAAATGAAAACATTTTTTTTTTTAATTATAATTTTTGGTTATAAACTAATTTGGGTTTTTTTTTTTACTAAAAAGATAACTGAATAAATGTTGGCCAAGATTTAGGAAGAAAGATTAGTTATTTGCAAAAGTTTATAAGAAAAACACTTTTTTTCAAAATTTGTGGACTTTTTCATGTATGTAGCGAAAAAAAAAAATTTTAATCCCAGTGGTAAATAAATACCATCAAAATAAAGTTTTATCTGTCTCAAAAAAATGCAAAAAGATTCATATGGGTACACTGTTGCATGAACGCGCAATTGTCATTCAAAATGTGATAGCACTAAAAGCTGAAATTTTGCCTGGACAGGAAGGGGGTGAAAGTGTCCAGACTTGAAGTGGTTATCAGACCAACTCCTGCATTCAGGAGTTTTGGTGCACTTTCAGAAAGTGCACCAAACCTGCAGGATATAATAGAAGTCTATGACTAAGCGCAGCAAATCCATAGGAAAGCTGCAGGTACACTGCACTGCACCCTCAGTGTGGGTAAACCGCAGTGCATCAGTGTGAAAGCAGCCCTATACTATTATGCCCAGTGTATTGCTTCACACTGACCCGCTAGCACTACTCTGAGGACTGCTGCTATCCAGGATAAGAGGTGGAGTACAGTTGATACCTCTCTGCATGGGACAGGAACCAGCACTACAGAGGAGGCATCGGTTTTTGCAGCTCTTGCTCCCTACTACAGCTCCAACTTTACAAGTAGTCCCTCTGCATTGCATTCTGATCCTCTGGGATGACGGGTCAGCAAGCCCAGACTGTGATCTACCAGTCACCTGGCAATAATCTACTCATAGATCACAATCTACAGGTTGGTGAACCCCCCCCCCCCCCCATGTAGCAGGATGAATGACTCCCATGAGCATGCGCATCCAGAGGAAGTCTAAGGAGAAGAAGTTGGTGGCTGGCGAGGGATGCAATGATTGCATTGCTGGACTGGAGGTAAGTTTATGAGCTCTGAGCTATAAAAAATTCAGAGTGCTACTACTGTGCACATGGGCACGTTTCTCCACAAATGGTGAACTTGTCTGGTGGCCCACAGATTGTGGTCATAAGTATACAGAATCCTGCACACCCTTCACACCCTTCTGCAGAAGACACTTCCTATGAAGCCTCATGAGACACTTCTTAACTGGAAACCCACTGGGATTTCCAAATACCAATTTATGCTCATGACCCATGTCCTAACTGCTGCAAAGGTAGCAATAGCAAAAGCTTGGTTACCAGAAAACGTATTTGTGTCTGAGGCTAAATCTTAGATGCAGCGGATATTGCTCAACAAGAAACTAATGGCTGAACTTCAGGGTTCCGTGCCTAAATTCCATTGAGTCCGGGAACCGTGGGTCACTTACTTTCTGCCAAGAGACTTTGATCATTGTTTTCTTGAACTATAAAGTTTGCTAATGCTAAACTGCATCATAAATGTGGGTTCTGAATCCTCTCTGACCACTTTTCTTTCTTTTATTTCAACCTCCACATCCTGATATCCCTCTCCTCCTCCTGAACCTCACCCTCTTCCCTTTCCTCCACACTTTACCTATAACCATTCTCTTTTTTTTTACCTTGCAAATAAGTCTACCCATGATTTTAAAGACAGAATTTTATCTATTTATTTAAACACTCACTATGAATCTACTGCCCCCCTAACCTGGCTGCCCCACAAGTGCCTTTACAGTTCTCTACTTAAAGCATATCCAGCATAAGGGTGAAGTTGCACCCAGGCCATTTTGTCAACAGGAGACATATTTTATCAAAGTAACTTAGACGTATTGATCTCTGTCTGTATTACCCATTGCAACTAATCAGATCTTACTTCTCAGAATCCCAGTGCAGTATTTCTGAGAACCAGTGTGTGACAGACCAAACCAGGAGCAGGGCTTTTGGAGGGGACTAGGGGCTAGCCTTCTACCCACTGATTATGGCCCATGGTGACAGCAGATCATTCTCCAATGATGGACAACAACGTATTGAACACTAAGAGCGAGGCTTGTATTATTTCTCTAAGTAAAGACGATAAAGCTTCCTTTCTGGAGTGGATGGGAAGGTGTAATATTAATCTCATAGAGGTCAATGGTCAGAGGAAATATGGGGCCCTCCTGCAGACTGTTCAGACTGTTGTAATATTGTATGAGTTTTGTCTTATGATGGACAGATTATACAAATGAAAACAAACACCTGAAAGTCAGCATGTGCAATGTACTTTGTGTATTCAGGGTTGGATGTGCCGGGCCGTCTGGGGTGGGCTCCCTGGCTTGTTTAGGTGCTTGGCTGTTGATTAGCTTACTGTTAATTAGATCACTGTTAGCTGTACTGTTTACCGTTTGCACTGTTTAGGATGATGTGATCAAGCTCTTACCTAATCAGGGTGGAAGTTTATCCCAATGTGCAATATTTGTTTTTATTGTTCATGTGAGGACTGCCCCTGTTTATGAAGTGTATAAAAACCTGTATTTCTGTTAAATAAAGAGTTCCAGTGTTGCCTAGTCTTGGATGTGATGTCCAGCTATAATACCTTGGTCCTGTGTCCCAGCGGCGATGAAGCAGTTCTCTGACAGAATCACCCAGGCGGGGTGACAGGCAGTCAGTCACACAGGGGTTTATTTACTAAAGCTAGAGAGTCCAAAATCAGACTCCCTTCTGCATAGAAACCAATCAGCTTCCAGGTTTCATTGCCAAAGCTTCATTGAACAAGCTGAGGTTAGAAGCTGATTGGTTTCTATGCAGAAGGGAGTCTGATTTTGGACTCTCCAGCTTTAGTAAATAAACCCCACAGTGTCAAAGCCAGTCCCCTACATGTGAACATGTTCTGTTCCAAGAGTATGTTCATAAGTCCAATTTGTTTGTAAGTCCAACAAAGTTAGCCTAGCTACCCACCTAACACAGTTGGCCCAATAAAATACTGTAGTAGGTTTAAGACACATTTCACACAAATAATACATGGAAAAAAAGGTTAAAATAAAGATACAGTACTGTATACAGTAAAGTACACAGAAGCACCACCACTTGTAGAGGATGCACACATGAGGATGTACACCAGAAATGTGAACAAACTCACACGATTGGACATGCAAACGCATGTTCGTACCTTTGCAAGTTCACAACGTAATAGTTCGTATGTAGAACTATCAGTTTTGGGGGGACAGCAAAACCACTAACAAGAAAATGACCACCCTTTATTTTCTCTTTACAGGCAGACAACTGGATCACACTACAGATAAATGACACCACTGTTCGCTGCATCAGATAACTTTTAATATATGTTGCCCTCAGAGGTAACTCTGTTTAGGGATGTCTTTTACAATCATTGATATTTATAATATTGTTTTGTTTTATTTAAAATACAATTTGTATAAAGTGTTCATATTGTAAACTTTTCTCTTCATGGGTTTTATTTCTGGTGGAACTCCTGGCGGATAGCTAAATTCACAGACATACACATATAATGGGGCCGTTTTACCTGCCAAATGTCAATCCAGTTCTGAGATGTTCAAAGCTCTGCCATACAGTGCAGCCCTGTCTGGCCAGGGAGGAGACTGGGTTTTTATCTGCTGAAGTTCATTAACACCTGCAGGTATTGTTCGTCCCAGGGTTGTAACTGAACAGTCAAAGGAGAAGCAGCAGACTCATGATTTCATCGGTCTGTCACTTGGCTCTCTTTTCCTATCAGCATGCTTCATTGCACTGCTTCACCTCTCCTAGTCTGAGCCCTGCTGCACAGGAACCGCAAAAAACTGATACCAAGTCAATTTCAAATACATTGCCTGTATAAACAATACATGAAATGATGTACAGTAAATGATTATAGAGCTGTGCTAAATAGTGCCTTTTACTTCTCCCTGAAATTCAGCTTTTACATTCTATACTGTACATACGTTATATATGTACAAGGTAACACAAGGGTTTTCACACACCATAATGTAAACACTCCAGGAGTGAATTGTCCAGGTTTGTGCTGCAGTGGCCAGCAGTGGGACAAGGATCAGGTTTGGTGACAGCTTTTATAACTGGTGACAGATGGGCTGCTCAGGATGACCAAATGCTTCTTAATCTGCTGCTGTCAAAGCTGTTGTTTGCTTCTTTCCTTGGAGCACCGATAAGGAGAACATAAGAACATGTCCTGCATATGTCAACACCAGCAGTATA